GTTGGGTTTACAATTCGGTCGCCTCAATTTGAAGATTCTGTTACTGTGGGGGGCGTCAAGGGAGTTTATCTGAAGCACCTACACGCGAGTTTTGCTACCGGAGCAGCATCGAAGTATTTTTATTTATTTTTTGAAAATATTGGTAAACAACTAATTAATTAAATATTCTCACGTTTTTGACGTTTTATCTGTCAATGTCATATCGATATATAGTACTAAATCGATCTAGTGAATCGATATTTCACCCTAGAGAATCAAGATCAAATCTTTTCTGTTTTGTTAAGATTTACAAAATTATTTATAATTAGTTGAAAGTACCCCAACTCGTAAAGAATGACAGTTTTTCAATTTAATCATTCAATGTTATCTGAAACTTTAAAGAACTTGGGCTTAGTGAAATATTGTTAATAATTCTAAAATAATTACTTCTTGTCTGATATGTGATGTATTATTTATTTCTATTTAAATAAGTAGTGCCACAAAAATATTATGAGGGGAAACAATTGCATGCTAATATTTATAATTTTAAAAGACATTAAAACTATTTAGTGTTAGAAAGATTGAAATAAATAGAACAATAATAAATATTATTAATATTTAGAGTAGACACTGTAAAACTATAGTTCATTTTGTTAGTTGATAAAAAATAACTTTTTTCAGGTGGATCGTTTAGAACGAGTATGCAGTCCTTGCTGGCTGAGGGCTTCCAGAGCTGTATGGAGACAGAGACAACAAAATGAGAACAGGGATATTGAGCTACAATCCATGAATATAGAAGACATCGGTAACATCCCACAACCACCCCCTATACCTGCACCTGTAACCCCTGCCATTTCCAGAGCGGCATCAACAATTACTATGGCTAATTATAAGCGTGCTGCTTCTACTTCCCGTCACTGTATTTTTAAGTCATGTAATCATTCATCTAGATTTTTAATACCTAAACTACTTAAAGAGAGATTGCTGATAGATCACTCATTTTATGTGCCACTGTGCGCTCGTATTTGTGAATACCATTTAAATGAACCCCACAATGATTGGAATAATTTATTCACGAGTAGTAACTGTTCAGATTTTACTGCATCTCAGATAGACAACCTTTGTTCCTTACTTAAAAGTAGTGTTACTCAAAATTATAATATTTTAAATATCATTGAACATAATTCAATATTATGCAAATATTGGTTAGGATTTACCAAATACCAATTTGAACAGTTACTAGTTGAAATTCCATCTATCAGTGAAAGAGTTAAATCACCTAAAAGAAGTCTAGCTATGTTCTTAGTGAAACTTCGTACAGGTGATAGCAATGAACGCATAGCTTCTCTATTTAATGTAGCTTCATCGACTGTGTTCAATCACTTAAATATTGTAAGTCAGTGCTTTGAAGAGCAATTCATCCAACTGCATTTAGGGACAAATACCTTATGCATTCAACAAGTTGCTCAATATAACTTGACAATACCAAATGGCTTGTTTGGTAATCCAGATATGGATCCTGAATTTATGCCAGCAATAGTAATATGTGATGGTACATACATTTATGTGCAAAAAAGTAGTAATTACTTATACCAGAAGCAAACATATAGTTTACATAAGTATCGTAACTTAGTTAAGCCATTTTTAATAGTGTGCTGTAATGGTTATATCCTTGATGTTTTTGGACCATATCCTGCAACAGAATCAGATGCTTCTATAATTCTTAGACTGTTCAACGATAGTAGTCCACTGCGAACCTATTTTAGAGAAAACGATGTATTTATTCTTGATAGAGGTTTTAGGGATGCAATTCCATTCTTGCAGCAATGTGGTTATAAGGCTTACATGCCTGAATCTAAACAAGCTGGTGAAATACAATTATCAACCATTGCTGCCAACAAGTCCAGATGTGTAACTTTGTGCAGGTGGGTGATTGAAATTGTAAATGGGAGATTTAAACGGGACTTCAAATTATTTCGTCAGGAATATTTTAATACTGCATCTACTCATCTCATGCTATACTTTAAAATTGCAGCTGCATTAATAAATCGATTTCATACGTTGATTCGTAATAATTTTCATGCTGTAGAGATATTGGCAATTGCTCAAGCCAAACTAAACACTCCAAATAATTTAGCCTCCTACGTAGAAATGCACAATTTAAATAGAGTGAGAGTGCGATTTGCCAGCATTAATGGTAATCTTCCAGAGCTGGATAGTTTTCCTCAACTGACATTCCAGGATCTCATTCTGTTTAGTCTAGGAATTTATCAAATTAAACAAGCTCGTAGTTATTACGGGGAGCATGTCAGGGCTTCTGGAGAATATAAAATCGAGGTATACCTGCAATCTGTCCATGATTTTGGTCCAAATAGTTATCTATTGCGAGGTAGGATACAATCAAGGCACACTAGTAAAAAAACTTATTACACTTATATACTAGTTGACACCAACCCATCAATTGCTAACACTAGGGCTGCTCTTACTGGGTACTGTTGCAACTGTTTGGTAGGCAGACGCACTGTTGGCTGCTGTGCACATGTCATGTCTGTTGTCTGGTTTCTATCTTGGGCACGGCATCGAGATGAGGTTGAACCACCTGCATCTTTTTTTAGATGATATATTACTTTCAAGTAATGATATTGAAAATGATGAATGATGATTATTAATCTTAATGCGTATTAATATTGTAATATAAATGATCATTTTTGCTATAGTTGCTTCACTTGTGGCAACCAAAGTTTTTTGTGGTATTCTATAGGAAGATGCTGCTCCCCATCTCCTAGTATTTTTATTTTATTCTGTCGACTTTAACGACACCATACGGGACGGAACGTGATGGCAATTCACGGAAGGCCTCTGTAATATTTTACATTATATCTTTAATTTAGGAGCCATATGTTCGGCAGTGGACTGTTGTAATGATGATGAATAATGATGACTAAAAATTGTAATTTTTGTTGCTTATTTGAACTATTTCTATTTTACTGTGTGCTTTATTATCTGTTATATATTATGTTATATGTGTAATTTATAAATAAACGCCGAGCAAAGTTGAATTTATTGCTTTGGCACCCTTTTTTATCTCTTTTAATTGACAATATCCTTCTGATTTCTAATAATATCGTAAACGGGCGAGACATTATATTTTAATGATGTATGGGATTTATACTTGCTAATAGATGAATACTTTAATGAACAAAGGGCCGGCACTGCACCTGTCTGCTGTGTTATTTTTAAAAGAGGACTCATAAAACACTGACGATTTTAACCATAATTAATGCAGTGATTATACATGATCTTTGGGACTTATTACATATCAATATCGTATCATAAATAGAAATGTTACCATCAAGTTATTTTGAAAAAAATCTTTTAATATGATCTTTTGATATGAAAACACGAAAAATGTTTCTACCTATGTCCGTTAGAAACCATCCAAGCGATTTTGATGATATGTTTATGTGTGTTTGAACGGGTCTCTATATGATTCATATTCACATATGGACTCGGTAGGTGGCGCTGTTGTCGAAATCCAGAAATCACTTGTGCGAAGTCGGGGCGGATCGCTAATAATAAATACAATTAAACTATACCTGTGTGTTTGTTATCCTGGCACAAACTGTTCAAAACATCTTACTTCCTCACAATTTATCAGTGTGTAATAACAGATAAGCATGATATTACCTAGTCATTTTGGTATTTTAGAACCCAGTCATTTTAAGATGTATAATTAGGTATTTAATAATCAACCAAAGCATATTAAAAAAAAGTCTTGACACCGGGCCTGTCTGTCTGTCTGCATAAATAGATCTGAATTATATGTCTGAATTATATAGACTATGTTGGAAATGATGATTTACCATCTATAAATACGGTTGCATTATAACTTGTTTTTTACACAGTCAGTTTAAAACATCTTTCTTACTATATAACGTGTGTTGGTAATATTGTAAATATAAATGGATATATTATACCTTAGTCATCTTGAATTTATTCATATTATTTTAACGGTAATTGGGAAGTACACTCACAATCAATATATGTAAAAAATTGTATCCATACCACATTTGTACACAGACAGGCACTATATTTTGCCGTAACTACTAAAAATATTGAAGTACCTGAAAATGCTGAATGTACCTACAACTTGGTTTTATATGAACTATTATTCAACAGTGCACTATTTTAACTTAAAATACCGGTAAAAACCACTATAAATAGCTTTTAGTTTATTTAAAGGTTATTTTAAAATTCATATTTTAATTGTCAATTTCTCGATTTTCCGTCTAGATGTGGTAAAACTAATATTACTTTTGTAAACTATAAATTATAAGGAATAAATCGACATCCATTTCATTGCGTGACGCGAAAATTTGTGGTGGGCCCATTCTCCATACAAAAATTGATTGTCTCCTTTGTTCTACTGGCACTTCCGATGCTGATTGTTGCAAGTTAACAGACTCGACAGGCAAGTCACGGTCGCAGGTTTCAATAGGCGCTGCTGATGAAGATGGCGGTTGTTGGAAAAAAATTTTTTTTGATCCAAATTTCCCTAATACATTTTTTTTGATCCAATGGTCCACGATCTATCTTTGGTATCTCTATAAGAACTGAAAGTCCCACGTCAATGTCAGGAAATTTCTGTGATAAGTGGGGTTTCATTTTTGTGTGGCTTTTCTTAAGTTTTCGGCAGCTTTGTCTCTTTGGTCTTGAATGTTTTTTTCGCTGTATCATAAAAAGCATAATAGCTGCGATCCGTAACCTTCATCACATGACGTTATTCCACAAATCTCGTGAACATTTCGTGCATACGAGTAGCATGAATGTGCTCCTGTACATTCTTTGCCACAAACTACACATAAAAGTAAAATTTGTTCTGCTGGCACTTCCGATGCTGATTGTTGCAAGTTAACAGACGCGACAGGCAAGTCACGGTCGCAGGTTTCAATAGGCTCTGGTGCTGCTGATGAAGACGACGGTTGTTGCAAGTTAACAGACGCGACAGGCAGGTCACGGTCTCAGGTTTCAATAGGCGCTGGCGCTGCTGATGAAGATGACGGTTGTTGCAAGTTAACAGACGCGATAGGTAAGTCACGGTCGCAGGTTTCAATAGGCTCTGGTGCTGCTGATGAAGATGACGGTTGTGACGCCCATGAACAGAATGATTGCTGCAAGTTAACATAGTCAACAGGTAATTCGTCATTATGTGCAGGTGTTGCCGATGAACAAGATTGTTGTTGATTTAATATCTTTCTAAGATCTTCTTTAGTTCTTAGTTTACTAAGCAAATCAGCAGGCACTTGTGATAACAAACCAATTTGGGGATCCACCCCAAAAAGAGCTTTGTATGGTGTTCTTTTTTATAGTTCGATGAAAAGAGCAGTTTTTTTGGTACTGTACAAAGCGTATTCCAATCGACGAATTAGTAGAATTATTATCTTGTAGCCAAGCCTGTAACATGTTCTCCACATCTTGGTCCTCTCGCTCCACAGATCCTTGACTCACTGGATGTCTAGGTCTTCCGTTAATTATTTTACAACATGGCCACATTTAAATCAATTCCTTTATAATTGACTCTGTGAATTCTCGGCCGTTATCATTCTGAAGTATCTTAGGGCATCCAATATCCAAAAAAAAAATTCAATAATTCCAATGCGACCTCTGCGGCGCGCTTGGAGGTTAAAGGTCGAAGAAACGAAAACTTTGTTGTGTGGTCTTGGTAATGAAGTATCCATTTATATTCTCTTTCTGGAGATGACTGTAGGTCTATTAAATCTACTTGCTCTCGATTGTTAAATGAGTTCGAAATTATAGGTCGGACTGCAATACCTTTCTTTGGAAACGCCTTCTTATTTTGGCACGTTACACACTGTTTAACGAAACTGATAACCACCGGCGTAAGTATAAAATATTGAGATTTCAAAGTATGTAACATTTTGTCACGACCACCATGTCCTGTGTTTTTATGAATTTCGGACAAAGCATTGTAATATTCTTCGGAGGGCAAAATTTTTATAACAGGATCAGTAGTCGATTTTCGTTTCAAAGCTAAATACTTTTCTCCTCCTACCTGCATTACCTCATAATGGTTTGCATAAAAATTATGGTTAGGATTTCTCTTTACGTTAAGCCGAGGCGCTGCTTCATACTCTTCTATGTAACTTATTACTTCACTTATTCTCTGCCGCGTCCACTCTGGTTTTTTGCATCTCGCATTGTAAAATAGACGAAGTTCCTATTCAAAACGTCGCCTTGCCACTATCGATGGCGCTCTCAATATCTAAAAAGGCAAAAAGAGCTATTCGTTTATCCTCCTGTACTTTTTCGACCCTGTCAATAACACTGATCTGTTTGCTGTGAAGCTGTTTCCGTAGATTTGCCTCTGCGGTAAGCATGCTGGTTGTAGTGTATGGGCCTCGTAGCTAGAGCTATATTCCTAATTTATCTTTCCATAACCTTTTCCAAGGTAAGACATTGAAAAAAAAAAAACATTAAGATAGGTTTATTGGTCAAAAGAAATTTGGTAAAGCGTAGTCCTTTCTACGATCCTCAGATATAAATAAAACTTTGACAATTGTCCATCGTTCTGGAATAGATACAAATCTTGCTCTGAAGATTTTCATCAGACAGGGAAGAAGGATATCGACACCCTTCAGTAGTTAGATGAGAATTATTCCATCCTCTCCGCTTGGTATATGGTTTAAAGGAGTCAACAGCCCACTGCAATAGGTTTGACCTTATTATCTTTGCAACCCTACACCAGTCTTCATTATGATGCATTCGCAGGGTTCTGAAAGAATTCAAGGTAAAAGTCTTATGTGACCCTGAGAAGTTCATTAACGCTAGTAACTCCAATGTTTCTATTTCATTAATAGGGAGGTTACCGTCAGGCTTTTTGAGAAGCCCGATTTGATTAGGTTTAGTTTTCGATAGCATTTGTGTAGTATTACATTGCCAGGTAAAGACTTAACTTCCTCACATAGTTTCCTCCACAATGCTCTCTTAGCTTTCCTAATTTCTTTTTTATATTCGGTTAGAGTTGCACTATAAATATCCCACTCTTTGGTTTTTTTAGCCCTATTTAATTGTTTCCTGATCTTTTTCCTAAGCTTCTTTAGCTTAGAGTTCCACCAGGGAACTTTACGTGTCGAGGTCTTAGTTTTGACGAGACAGCTGTTCTCGAAGGCTTCACGGATATCTACGGATACTGTTTCCATCGCTAATTCCAAACTATTAATCATTTTGATGCTTTCAGGAAACGTTTCCAAATTCCTGAAGGTCGAAAATGAAGGCCATTTTTGGATCTCTTAAAGCAACATTTTTATAAGCTGGCGATGCTCCAATCACATCACCTCATTGTTATGTTGTTATATGTATTATATTATGGAATACGTGTTACATTTCTGCAAATATATTTTATTGTATTTCGACTTATTTCATTGCATTTCGTTGCATATAAACACCTACTGAGACTGTAGGCTAAGCTTTAGCTTAAAGCCCTTATGCAGAGGGTTCGAAAAGGCGTTTGGTATATAAATCGGACAGGCAACACTTAGGATAGTGCTAAATAACACCGCGACTGCCTCGTTGGTCCAGAAGTTGTGACCGCGATTGCTGCTTATGAGGTCCCGAGGTCGTATCCCGGGTCCAACCAAAATCAATTAAGGTGCGTTGGGGTAATACCGGACGATTTTCGACTAGTTAAAAGAGTCGGGCAAAAACATTATTTTCTCGATATCCATATATATATATATATATATATATGTCAAATTTCTGAAACATGTCTCAAATCATTAATGGTTACACGTAATTTAGCTATAAGAAGCTTTTACTTTTCAAAACTCATCAGTTTCTGCTTAAAACGTGTGCGAAAACAGGGCATAATTTTTTATATGCCGGATGTCGCTAAAAATCGCAAATAAAAGTGATAGGTAAAGATCGGACGGACAAAAAAAATACAAAAATTACCTTGTTTTATAAAATACTGCGCAGCACACGCCCTACTTTTCGGAGCGACTGGCTGGAACTTGGGGTCGGGGGTAGAATAAAATTTCATCTTGTACCATATAGCTAGCTTTCAAAAATATAGCATTATTCACCGGAAATTTGAATTTTACGATCTTACCCCATCACCGATCTTACCCCAATGCACTATATTGGGATTTCTGTCAAGAAATTCTCAGATCAGCAGCCCAGAGTCAGGAAGTTGGAGGTAGTTGTTTCTTTTACATTATAAGATTCGGCCTTAACGTCATAATTTCAAAATATTTTCATTCATGGAAATAAAGCTTTGTTGAATATAGTTGATGGGTTTTGGTTAAGCAAGTGGTAAATCTATATAAATAATGGTAAATCTATATAAATAAAAAAGACGTGTGGCACTCGGGGACTGCCGCGGTAAAGCTATTGCATAGCATTTTTTATCAACTTATGCAATTATAATTAATTATTTATTTTATTTATGCAGTTAAGTCTTTGATATTAAATCAAGTTACACTTTTTGAGCGTGGTGACCGATAAGAAAACAATTTTTTTTCTCTTATTGTATAAATGAGAAGTTAATATTGTTTAAAATATTTTTAATATCTTACAATACATGTAGCTTATTCAGGAATTTTTATCATTCAGTTAGCAGCTAGTGTACACGCATATGACTAGTCGCACGCACACAAACACTGTGCCGAAGTCTGCCGAATGCCGAAGTCTGCCGAACTGAAACGACGTTAGACGATGCACGGCTTTCAACGCCACACCTCCGTGCCCGTCGGAGTGGGGAGCGTGAGGTTTTTTTCGTTACGGAATTTCTGGATTCGGTCCCCGCGCTCAAGGCCCGCGATAGAAGCTATGCAATAGCTTAAAATATCTAGGATTCCCCAGCCGTGATACATTACAGATTGACTATATTATCATTTATTTTACTATTGTAAATAAGTACTAATTGTAGATATTGACAGGTTTAATAGAAGTTCATTTTCTTATATTGTGACTTATAACCTAATATGACCTTGGGAAGCAACTCATTTTAATATAAGGTTTTACTGCAATGACTGCCAATGGGTTGTTAATTTCTACAATAGACCGTGGCGTATTGTTGCTGACATGAATAACTCCGAAAATATAATTTATTTACTTGATCGTGTTGAGTTTTTGTGCCCACTGTTATGACTTTAAAAGCTTATATGCATTAGACCAGCAAGAGACGAAGTGACATGCTTCTGTTGCATAATAATGTAACTGATCGTATATAGAATATCATTGCGTTGAAGACTCATCTTCAAACACTTCACAAATTGATAGACAAAAATATGTACCTGCATAATAAATCTGCCCATGCTGCTAGCTTTTTTGAGTTTGTATTTGTATCAGTATTTTTATTTTCAATTACTGATACACGCTCCCTTACCAAATCCATCAATAAATGCTATGGAAAGAAAAAAGATATTATTATAACAACACAGTTAACTAACATTTGTGCACTAATCACCTATGAGAAAATTACTTTAGTCACAAACTAATCTTATCTTCCTCCAGCCAATTTTCACTTCTTTGCCGCTTTTTACATGTGTAACGTTTTCCATTATTTTTATTGAGTTATATATGAATATAAAACAAATCAATTTCTTGAATCGATTTAACGAAAACACAGGTTTATTGAACGTTTATGAATAGAGAATTTTATAATAGGTTTAATAGTACTATTGAGCATTTTAACTAATCACTGTTATAACGCCATTTTAGTGGATTTTTATGAATAAGACTGTTACAGTAGCTGTTGGTTATTCAGGAATATTTATCATTGACACTATAGGTTTGTGATAACTGAAATGTTTCTATTTAGTTATCGATTAAGTTTGCGACTTAATATCCTCTAAATACCTAGAAAATACCGCGTCAATGGTGGTCCCATATTTTGTTGTGGACTCTTGTGGATTATTATTCATTTTCAAATTCAATATTTTTGATAGAAAAGTTGTCAACCGCTCTGATTTTCTATCAGCGAAGTTAATGTTGAAATCGCCAGCCAAGATAAGTGGAATTTTATTACCATTTGTACCAAGTATTTTCGACCCTTCTTCAGTGTACTCCAGTAAAGTGCGATGAATAAGAAAGGGGCGCAAATGCTCTACCTCGTCCAATTTTGGATTCGGAGAAATGTAAATTGCAACCATAACTATTTGTAGGCCATTTATAAGTTTGCATAGGCACGCACAAATATCTCCAACTACTGAGCGCCTAACATTAACATCGCTAACGTGTGCAATATTTATTTCAATATTCGGAGTCATAATATTAGTAATATTATTTTTATTTTGGTAAATAGCTACCCCACCTTTTGGAACAGTATCTCGTTTGAACTGAACAATACAATTAAAATTAGGTATTTCAATCGGATTATCATGCGTCATGCAAGTTTCGGTAAGAAGTAACACATTTGTTTGTCTCGTAACTGAATCTTGTAAATCGTATTTATGACTATTTAGACTTTGGCAGTTGAAAGTCATTATTGAAATGCCATTTCCATTACTAATGAAATCTAATACACTTTGAGCTACCGTCTGAACACTATTTAAAGACAGTCTTTTGAATTCTTGCAACAAAGATGCAGTCGATGCAGCTTGCTTTCGATTATGATAAAACTTGAATGTATAATTATCGTTTTTTGTCGTGATATACAATTTTTCAATATTAGTCACCCGAGAGAGCGCAACATAAACGAGTTCCTGAGAATGTGCTTTACTATACTCATATACCATTTCGTCAAAAGTTCCACCTTGCGACTTATGTATAGTTAAAGCAAGAGCTGAAGTTAATGGAAAATGTTTGCGTTTGGCTATACATTTTCTATCCGATGTTAATGAAATATTTGCTGTTCGTAATTCAATGATACAGCGAGATTGCCAACTCTGTTTTGCACTGCTAGAGCGGCTGCTTTTTGCCTTTTTTTCCTACCCACTTTATCTGAACCACAAAATTCCAGCCAAACTCTTATTAATGTGTTACTTTCATCAAATTCTAGATGTACCAATTTCCCAACAGCACCATTGCACAAACCATCAGTAACGTCGATGTTAGTTGTAATAACATAATGCTTGCCAACGACAAAAGTAATGTGATAAGGCAGTCCTCCAGTGTCAATAACAGATTTTTTATGTAATTTAAGTCTAAAATTAGCTTCTTGCTCAGCACTTTTAGCGCCAATAATGACGTCTACGGACGTTGAAAGAACTTTTTTTTTTTTCCTTTAAAAAAAGGGGGGGGGGTGGTTGTCGTGGGGGGGCCTTGGTTTTGTTTAGGGTTCCACATTGGCTCAAAATCAAATTGTTATAGGCGGCAACATCTTCATTTTTAAAAAATAAACGAACTCCATCAGGACATAATGTAGCAACATCCTCTTTTTTGAAAAATCTCGATTCAATAAGTTGAAACTCATGCTCATCTAGTACATCTCCATTACCTATTTTTGTCAAAACTTGTGAAAATGCAACATTAGCTTGTCTCATTACTGTGGTGAGTTGATAAAATTTTAATTTTCTCCATAAATGCGGTCCAATCATGCTCGTTCTGATTGTCTTGTAAATTGGTGTCGATCTTACTGGTGGCAATTGCCGTAAATCTCCGATCAAAATAACATCTATACTTCCGAAATCTGTGTTTTTGCCTGTTATTTGTTTTAGACGATTATCAATTTTATGTAGAAGTTCTGCACTAACCATGCTAATTTCATCAATGATCAGTACTCTGACATATCTGAAGAGAGATCTATACAATTGCATCGTTTCTGATGACAGAGGCAAAAGTTTTGAAAGAGAAATTTTGAGCGCTGTATGAACAGTTGTACCGTCAATAGCCACGGCAGCTTTGCCGGTTGAAGCACATGTAATATAGGCATTGCAGTAACCATCATAGTGAACCTATTGTAAATTTCTATAATCAGTTTGATAACGAATGATTTTCCCGTACCTGCTGGTCCCGTAACAAAAATTTGAAATGGTTCTTGAATTGAAGTTTGTAAATGATGAATTATAGTCATAAGAATATCTCTTTGTTGATCATTGGCCATCCGCATTAAATTATAGAATTGTTGATAATCCATTAAATTTTCTCTTTTTTTAGCTACAGCGCCAAGTTTATGCAGAGATGCATTTTGTAAATCAACATTAGCAGTTGAGTTTGGATCACGTAGCAATAAGTCATAAGGATCTCTTACATGCAATATATCAACCGCTCTTAATAATTCTTCGTCTTCTTGTTCTTCATCGTTTTCTCGGCACAACTGTCTACAAATTTCTAAAGTTTTCTCTATGTCCAAATTTGATTCAAATTCTTTCCTACGTTCTAATATCGTATCTTTGTTGTCCTCGTATATTTGAATGAACTTATTTTCAGCAATAATATCATTTTCTTCACTTTGAAAAGGAACATGCAACAGAACCATCTCACGCCTATAATCGTTGTAATTGTCAGCCATATCGTAGTTCCTGTATCTTATTATTCTTGCAGTATCTCTTTTAGTGTAAGTCCCCTTTGTATTTAGGTAATATTTTGCAACAAATTGTGCTAACGTAACATCGCGGAGTTCTTCAGGTCTTTTCTCATATTTATCAAGCCAATTCTCTTTCCAAATGTTCGTACAATCATCATCTAAAGCTTCAAGCTCCTTCATAGATTTTCTAATTCTTGCGCGTTCAGTAGGAAATACCGTTGGAATGTAGACTGACACCACCGATGACTTAGCCATAGGTTCTCTTAATAAATACCAAGCAGCTTCTTGTGCCGGCATTTTAAAAGACTGAAGTATGTCAATACTCATTTTTTTCGTGATATCGACAATGTCGAATTCTGGATGCTCGTCCATTATATCAATTATTTGTCTTTGCAAATTACTAATCCCTCTATTATGCTTATTGACATATTCAACAACATATGTTGCACAAGCATATTCATCTAGTATAATCTGAAAATCCATGTTGGATTTCAAATGATGTAATACGAATGGATTGAAAGTGTTGTGCCATTTTTCTGCTGGTGTCCTTTTATAGAATAATTTTGGTCTACTGATACCAGCACGAATAATATTGTAGTAATGATCATCAGAAATAATACCATTATGCGAGTAAAATTCATCAAAATCCGTATAGTCAATATTTTCGAGATTATTTTTTATAAATTTAAATCGTTCCTTATATTCTTTGAAAAGTGCTTCTGAGTAATCGGGATCAGTGTTTTTCATAGGTATCAAATTAATAGTTTTTTTTGTAGGCATAAATGGTGCACCAAATCGACATTCTTGTTTTTTATTAGGATCCATTTTTTTATAACACGTGAATGTGTGTTTGTGTGTTACTAGTTTTATATTTCCAGACGCCTCTGACGCTGACACTTTAGAATACTAATTCGTCGATTAATTTAATTACTTCGGGATCATTACTTAATAAATCTTCAGGAACATTGTCCAACCGAAGAAGAATATGAGCATGTGGGCTACCACGATGTTGAAATTCTTTTCTTTTGAAATAATGTATTACTCTATATTTTTTGAATGGACTTCTTTTCTTTGATTGCAAAATTTTTAACAGACAATTTAGCATTTTATTAAAATAGATAGCACAAGTTACGGCATCTTCATTCACAAGTTGAGCTTTATGCACATAACTCATTTCTGCTAAAACTCATCTGAAAGTTCCGTTCCCTCGTTTTTCAATTTGTACAATAATTTCAACATATTTTCCCAGCCAGTTTCATTGGCGCTGAGAGTCATAAAAGCAGTTGGTGGCCCTTATTGCCTAATCATTGCAAAAACATCTGTTTTGCAATCTCATCAAAACCAAGCGGAATTTGGTATGCAGCGAAGAAATGCGAGATTTGTTTCTAAACAATTATTTATATATTCTTCAGATTGAATGGTCTCTTTCGTAATTGAAGTACCTTGTCCAACATGCTTAAACGCAACGTTGACACATTTACTAACTCTCAACCTCATGATTTTAGCACGCCTATCAGTACGCCGAAGTTTGCTGGTAGCTTGCATGAATGGAGTAACAATATCACCATCTCTGTATGTTCGAAACTGACCGCCGTAGATTGTCGGAAAAGATAGTTGTTCCGCATGTTCATCCATTAAAATACTGATTGGCCTGTTATATTCACCGGGTGCTATACTCAAAAAATAATCATCATTCCACAAAAGAGTTTTGTTGCTGCGCAACTAAATTGTCTTCAATTTGCACATGTTCACTTATTTCATCCATATTCAATTGCGAAGTACGTTCATTGCCGGAAAAAAAGATTCATCGATTTTAATGTCATGATAAATATAAAGAGGCGTAGATACTAAATACGACAACCACTCTTTAATATGGCTCTTATTTATAAGCCCGTGGACATAACTAGTTTTGTGAATCAACTTCTTTTTCAAATGCACATAAAAGCAATGGTCATCTTCAATGTTTCTTGGCAATTGTTTCACCATTGTATTAACTTCAACAGGTACATTAATTATCTGGCCATAAATACCGTACTGACCATTAACGTGTCTCAGTCTACGAATCTGCATGAACGGTATTCTCGGGGAAATCAACCGTTGCTCGATAAGGTTTAACGTTGGTAAATGTGATGGAATTTTCGGATATGCAAAACCATTGTAGGTTGACATGAGAGGAATTTTTTCTTTTCCCAAAGATGTATAACACGTAGAGCAGACTTGAACAATTTCACCAGGTATGTAATTCTAAAAAAAATCAAATTCGTATTATCAAGATATAGAAAGAAAAATATAAAGTGAATAATTAAAAAAAAAATAAAATTACCTGCAGTATTGTTTTCAAAATACTTTCATGTTTACTGGTCGACTTTTTCAAGTCTCCTTTCCACCATAGTCTGTCGCAAATAATACAAGAATGACCGAATGAATTACTCGTAAATTCTTTATAAAAATCAATATGACTTGTACTGTGTTTACGATAATTTGTATAAACTGGAATAGTACCATCATCAATAAAATCCATAGTATTTTCACCAATTCGATCTTCTCTATCAATCTCAATTTCATTTTCATGATTGTTATGGTTATCTTCGGTAGGATCTTCATCATAATTATCACGCAATAGTTCAATATTGGCATCAACATGGGCTTCATTTTGGGTAGCGTCTTGTACTGTCTCCAATAAATCTGATACTTCATAAAAAGGTGTGAAATGTTGTTCACGAAGATGAAGATGAATCCAGTTTTGTGCATCATTCGCTTTAAAATGACAAAAGATAGTGTCTTCATTCGTTGTAGTTATGTTGTAAAAACAATAATGTACACAAATATTTTGATTGTACATTTTTGAGAATAACTACAAACAATCCAAATCTCCGTAATCATTACTGCTTGATAGAATGTTATATGCTTCTTGCGGATTGTGGCAGGAGTTTAAATAGGGTGAATCGCGTAACTGATTTCTCAAGTCACAACTCTCAATTTGAAGTTGCAAAACACTTATGAGCGAGTGGAATAGACAATTACCATTGCCAGGAATTCCTGTGTTTCTGTGTAGAATAACTTCGGGAGTAATGCATTCATTACGCTGTTCATAAATATGAAGTTGTTGGCTGTGAAATCGATTTTCTTGTAGCGTTACATTTTCTATATTTTCAACAGCGCTACATTGCACGATATTCTCTTCATTACTGCACAATCGTCTTTTTCTGTAAAAAAATGATGAAATCGTTAAATTAAATAATATTGAAGCATATATTACTTATTAAACTTTACCGATAATCTGACGTCATACGACGTAATTCAAATAACTGCAAAACCAAACATAATATCTTAATTTAACAAAAATAGCCTTTCACAAAAATGAATCTAGTTAAGTATAGAGTAATTTTGTACAGATTAGGTAAATAGTTCGCACTCTTCCTTAAGATAGTGATCATAAAAAGTAAAATCGCAGTGAGAGCACAAAAACTCAACACGATCAAGTAAATAAATCATATTTTCGGAGTTATTCATGTCAGCAACAAAACGCTATGGTCTATTGTAGAAATTAACAACCCATTGGCAGTCATTGCAGTAAAACCTTATATTAAAATGAGTTTCTTCCCAAGGTCATATTAGGTTATTAGTCACAATATAAGAAAATGAACTTCTATTAAACCTGTCAATATCTACAGTTAGTACTTATTTACAATAGTAAAATAAATGATAATATAGTCAATCTGTAATGTATCACGGCTGGGGAATCCTAGATAGTTTTTCGTATTTAGTAAACGAATAACTAGTTGGTAAATTAATCATTATATATATTTTTTTTCGCCGGAGACTAAAATGATATTGCTTTTTTTCGTAACTGCAGATTCTGTGGATTTATTTAATTATTTTGAACAATATATGAAACTTAAGTGACTAAAAATAAATCTAATCTGAACCAGAATCATAAAAACTGTATTATTCGGGCTAAACCAATCTAATAAAGATCTGTTATTTTTGTCTCTTGCGAAAAAAATAGACTATAGGAATCTATCGAATACCTACATAAACAAAATATCACCTATAAATAAAATATTACGAAGCGGAATAACTAATAAGAGTGGCAACGTCGCACCATACAAAGGAATTGAGTTAAGACGACACCTCGAAAGGGCTATCGCGGGACTGATCCGAGCGAATGCATAATTTCTATAAAAACTTGAAAAAACGCCCTCATAAGGTCTAAAATAGCGTAGCGCCCGCGACGATTAAAAGCGCTTAGAAATTCTCAGAAACTTTAAAATATTTTTTGTAAAAATTATTGATTTGAGTAATCAAAATAATGAGCAAGTAAATTATGAATATTAATGTTATGAATATATTTGAGTGATTTAGAAGCATATAGATTAAGTAATTTCGTTGTAATTTCAACTATAGTGGTTTTTTTAGAGGTGTTTTCGCAAATAATTATGATCGAGTCAAAATTATACTATCGTGTTTTTGAGCAATCAAATTCAAGATAAAGACATGAATTTACCTATATCAAAATTTCACTTCCCTTAGTGGTGTCATAGTCCTATCAATTATTGTATTATTATAATAGTACATGATATTCCCTTTAAAATGACACCAATATGAATATTATCTTATATCTATATCTACAAATAAATAAAATTGAAGTGTCTGTTTGTAATGTTAAAATAACAGCTTTTTATTAAATGCGTATGAAAGTACTAGTAAAAAAAATTTTTATTTTTTATCTGTCTGTCGGTCTGTCTGTCTGTCTGTCTGTTTGTTCCAGCTAATCTCCGAAACAGCTGGATCTATTTTGATGGGACTTTCACTGGCAGATAGCTGATGACATAAGGAATAACTTGAACTACTTTTGTTTTAGAAAAAGAATTAGGGTTCCGCGCAAAAAAATTAAAACCCATGAAATCCATATTCCACGCGGGCGAGATCGCGGGGAATAACTAGTACTCAATATAGATAAATGTATACTTATTTTTATTTATTTATTATTTTAATAAATAAATAAAAATAAGTATTAATAATTTCTAGACACATCTCAACAGATATTTCGTTCATAAATTGCTATCAATACTGAAGCATTCTTTTATATTTAGCATCCATTTAACACAAAAAAAAAACTGATAAGAATTCTTTTTAAACAACATATAATCAATAAACGATAATCGCGTATAGTGAATTTCGAGGTAAATTATTATATGTAAACGTTTTTGAATCGTCGTAATGATACATATTTCCTAAAGAAAATATCTCCACATTTAATTTGATGTAAAATAACGTTAGAAATAACGTATAAAAATGGAGAAATTATCAAATTTTTGATCGAGTTCCTAACCAGTACACAAATAAAAATGGCGAATAGTATTTTCAAATTTTTGAGTAAAAACAGAAAAATGATCAAATTTTTGATCGAGTTCCTAACCAGTACGCAAACAAAAATGGCGAAATGTCATTTTCACATTTTTTTTCTATATAGTTATTTGTTACAGAGTACACAGATAAAATTCACTCTCATAGATGACAAATTTCAAACACCACAATCTCTAATTTTTTTACTCTGCTATTGTTACGGCCTCTAGTTACCCGGGCAAAGGTCGTAGAACCCGGGCCCACCAGGGGTTCAACTCGACGAGTAACAGGAGGTCGGCCTAAATGGCTTGTGGAATATGAGACAATAGCGGTTAAAAAAGGAACCAAACAAGACTTAACTATTTCGTCGACGTAGGGTAAAACCTAGGAAGATTCAGGTGTAAGTATATGTGTGTGATAGTGTTATGCTCAGTACGTGTTATATTATGTAACCTGACTTCCCGCTGGTTGCCGAACAGCAGATCCCAAGGCTTCACCTCTATTCCAGTATGGGATCCATCGAAGGGGCAAGCCGTCACAGAAACTTCAGAGTCTAGGAAATTACGCTCGTTTATCACTCATTAATTATAGTTAAGTCAATTGTCATTAGGTTAATCCAATCAAATTCAACCAGATTTAACCGAACCCGCGTTATAACGAACTCACTATTTTGTGAAAAATACTGTATCACCGGACCGCGTCACAAAAAACTCAGGTTCGCGCAGTACATACGTCAGGGCGGCCGTACGGCAATTATATTAACAAGACGCGCAACTACTCAGTTCCACGCTCCACGGCAAGATTTGTCACTTATTATTTATTGTCCAATTAATTGTCTTTAAATTCAAATGGCACGCTCTATTAACATAAGTCTAAGACAAAACAAGGAGACTTTCAATATATGAACAACCCGGCTTCGCGCAAAAATCTCTCGCGACCCCTATAATGCGACCGGAGAACGTCATCGGCGCAGGTACCGCGTGCCTAGCTAGGAGCGCGCCCTAGCGGCGGGCCGGGTGCAGCCCGGCCCCGCCGTCTGCTCCCTAGCTCGGCTCGATGCTAACAGGGGTGACCGACCGCGCGCAAAAATGCAGCTAGCCTCCCCCTCCCGCACTTACTAATCGTCGCTTCACACCGCTTGAGATAAGACGATCTACTATCAGGCGCTAACAAACCCCCCGTCCCGGACATAAGGACCTATGTCCGCGAGTAAATTGGCAATTAGAAGACGCTTTGTATTGTTGGTTTTTACAAAAACGATCAACTGGGCAAATGATATCTGGCCCTTTGCTTTGTGAAAAAGCATTACAGTTAAATAAAAAATTAGGTGACAGCGGCTCCTTTGTCGCAAGTAACGGATGGCTATATAGATTTATATCTCTTCATGGAATTTAATCAATGTTTATTAAAAAATAATAATTTCTTAATAAACATTGATTTTCGTTGAAATTGTTGTTTTTAATAAACACATAACATTATGTATGTACATATGTACTACAAATGCACAAAACCCGCTTTTCTTCATACATTCGATCATCCGGATTTTCGATTATCCGAATCCCTAACGGCAACAATTGTGTGTGTGTTTGTGTGTATATAAAGAGGGCTACTTTTAATATCGCTCATTTTAATATCAAAAATTTAGGTTATCTTTATAGCAGTATTATATTTTCAATTCAAAATTAGTACTGCATTTGTGATAATAATAAAATGTACGTATGTATATAGAGTACTCACTCATTTTCTTTCACTATTTTTTTCGTGACTTTCTTCATTAAGGTGGCACAAGTCGCGGGCTCGAACTCATTGGCGGGCGCGGCCAAAAAGCACGTTGTCTCACCTGGCATCGTGCCCGACAGAGATAGTATCAGTGAAGAGCAGTTAGAACGCACGTCTTGTTCGTACGGCGTTCCGAACCGTTAGAACAAAAACGAAGTTACACGAACACGATGCACACATACATACCACCCTATTCTGTGCCGCTCGACGCTTGCTGAGAAATCAGCAGTACCTACCTACAAACTCGTACTAAATTATTAGATGCTGCGTTATCGCTTTATACTATACCTCTATGGCTCTATAGATACCTAATATAGATTGCTTATTTTATTATGTTTTGTTTTCCCCGGGTGGTCATGCAGCGATCACTCAAGAGTTCACGACGCCGAAGCATGAACTGGAACAGTCATCGCAGTTTATATCCGTACTAGCTGTTGCCAGCGGCTTCAAACGCGTGAACTCGAAAATTATCCCACAGGAATGAAATACCTGAATAAACGGTATCAAATGTGTTATTCCAGACCAGGTATAACCTATCTCTGAGCTAAATATCATCCAGATCCCTTCAGCTGTGATTGAGTAACATACATCTATCCATCCAAACTTTCGCATTTATAATATTTAGATAATAATTGTAATTAGTTCTGCCTACCTATAAATTGTCTTCAAAAATACTTACCTGTCTTCTTACTTTGTTTTATATACACACAATATCACTAGATGTAAACACATGTTTTTATCAAGACAAGTGACCCGTCAAGACTGTTTCCTTAGTACCGACGTACTTAGGCAGGTAGGTAGGCAGTTTAGATTTTAGTTTCCACGACGCAGCGACAGTTTGCCAAATTTTGTTGTATAAGTTGTGGGTATCTAGGTAATAACAGTAGGTAGACTACCTATCCACCGTCCACGCCGCGCAAGTGATTCTCGTCCCACCTGTCCGCACAGTAACTTTTTTTTACGACCGCGCGAGACTGTCGCAACAAAAACGATTACTGCCGAAAAACTAAATAGGTACCTACCTAACATTCAAATAAAAATATTCTCAAAAAAGCTCAACGAATTCAGAATTTAATTTTGTTAAAAGAAAATTGGTCAAATAAAAAATAAAGGATGAAAATAAAGCATATGGGAATATAAAAATAAATCGTATTTATTTGTTACTTATTTCGAGTTTTACAAGAAAAGTATAATATTTACTGGAGACAATTATTTTATTATTATAATAGTACATGATATTGCCTTTAAAATGACACCAATATGAATAATATCTTATATCTATATCTACAAATAAATAAAATTGAAGTGTCTGTTTGTAATGTTAAAATAACAGCTTTTTATTAAATGCATATGAAAGTACTATTTTTGTCTGTCTGTCGGTCTGTCTGTCTGTCTGTTTGTTCCAGCTAATCTCCGAAACAGCTGGATCTATTTTGACGGGACTTTCACTGGCAGATAGCTGATGATATAAGGAATAACTTGAACTACTTTTGTTTTAGAAAAAGAATTAGGGTTCCGCGCAAAAAAATTAAAACCCATGAAATCCATATTCCACGCGGGCGAGATCGCGGGGAAAAACTAGTACTCAATATAGATAAATGTATACTTATTTTTATTTATTTATTATTTTAATAAATAAATAAAAATAAGTATTAATAATTTCTAGACACATCTCAACAGATATTTCGTTTATAAATTGCTATCAATATTGAAGCATTCTTTTATATTTAGCATCCATTTAACACAAAGCTGATAGGAATACTTTTTAAGCAACATAATATAATCAATAAACGATAATCGCGTATAGTGAATTTCGAGGTAAATTATTATATGTAAACGTTTTTTAATCGTCGTAATGAAACATATTTCCTAAAGAAAATATCTTCACAATTAATTTGATGTAAAATAACATTAGAAATAACGTATAAAAACAGAAAAATTATCAAATTTTTGATCGAGTTCCTAACCAGTACACAAACAAAAATGGCGAAATATCATTTTCAGATTTTTTTCTATATACTTATTTGTTACAGAGTACACAGATAAAATTCACTCTCACAGATGACAAATTTCAAACACCACAATCTCTAATTTTTTACTCTGCTATCTTCAGCGCTGTACACGAACGGAACGATGTCGTTGAGAGCCGTGGTAGCTCACATGGTTAGCGCTCGTTATAGGTATCACAGTACGGGAGCAACCCGGGTTCGATCCCCACTGGCACCAATGAAATTGTTGCGTGCTGATTTAGCTATCAGTTGGAAAGTCTGTTTTTCTGGGCCGTTTTGTTTTGTTACACTGACATCTCGCAAGTCACCTAGGGACCTAGGAGGTTGTCGGTTGCTTATTTTTTTTTTCTTTAAAATTTTCGTCGGTAAAATAACATATTTATAAAAGTAAAAAAAGTAAAGTTACAGCCTATATACGTCCCACTGCTGGGCACAGGCCTCCTCTAATTTCTGAGAGGGTTTTAAGGCAAGGAAATGTCCGCCACGCTGCCTCAATGCGTGTTGACGAACTTCACATTTCTTCGAAATATATATTTTTTAATTTCTCAGACATGCGCTACCAGCATGCGACGACGCGGCCCGCGCCTTGCCGCCACTTGCGTTTGTCGCGCTTTTGTCTCGTCACAGAGTGGCGATATCACAGTAATATAGGTATTTTATAAACAGCACCTGTCTAATATTATGAAATATGTAGATAAAACTTAAAACTTACCTTGATAAATGTATACCCTTTTGTTTGTAATATTTTTTAGACCTCTCTTCAATCGTTTCTGCTTATTCCCCATGTTACAAACTAAACTTAAACATTAATAAAACTGTACAATTAATATAACTATAAAACACTACTATTAAACAAGAATCAGAAAAAACCTACTCCACTATTAACAAAATTAAATTTTTGCAGTAATATTTTACGATTTTATTTCGTAGTGCTGAGCTCTCGCAACGCGGCGTACGTCCACCTAGCAACACGATGCGCCCCGCACTGAATTCTTGGACGAATGCGGGGGTGATATAGACGCAGTATTTAATCGGGACGCATTTTTAATTTATTATCATAAAAATAATACATATTTCTAAAAAGTAACCAAACCAAATTATTTTATTTTGTATTGCAAAGCAGTAGATATTTTTTTTATATTCCTTTGATAAACAATGAAGGAGTAAAGTGGTTTCATCTCAACGATTTGGAGGTGATTTGGGTATTTTTTTTATTTATTATGTGACACCGATAGAAAAATTATGGCTAAACCAAATTACGTATCAGATCATGTAGATTACTAGCTATTTTTTCATATGTAATTTCTCTGTAAATATCGACGAAAAGTTGGTTCATCTGCACGCTTTTTACAAGCTTTTTGCGAGAGAGCAGCCTTAATAATAAATGCACTTTGTTCATTCATATTCAAAATTTCAAAATACTTTATACACAAACACCGTGTCGAAGACTGAGGAAAAGAAACGACGTTAGACCATCGTTAGACAATGCACGGCCTTCAAGCCACACCTCCGTGCCCGTCGGAGAGCGTGAGGTTTTTTTCGTTACGAAATTTCTGGATTTTCCCGCACTCAAGGCCCGCGATAGAAGCTATGCAATAGCTTAAAAAATCAATTGTCACGTGTATGAAAGATCATCACTTGAGAACACCAGCAGGTCTACTCTAATTCAACGAAAAACGAAATTTAGATCGAAATTTCGCTCAATTCCTACCATGGTTCCATTCGATTCGAAACTTCGTTGAAACGAAATTAGTTTGACGTTTAAATTCTCTAAGCCTACTCTATTGCACTAAAGTTACGAACGAAAATTGAAGTTTGACAGATACTTGTTCGTAATTTTAACCTCAAATTGACGAAACCAAAAGTGTTAACTTTTTTATTTTCGTTTTGGTAGATTTTGTTAAAAATTTAACTAAAATGGCTACGAGACAGCTTTTAATCGCGGCTGCTTTACGTGAAGAACGATTGGAGCGTAGAAGGAACCGGCGCCGCCTGCGTAATCAATTAAATATTTCAAATATTCCCGATCTAGAGTTTGTCGGAAATAACAGACTCAGTCGGGAATTATTCGAGGAGTTGTGCCAGGACATAGTGCCTTTATTGCCTCCAAAGGGAAGACGACATGGAATCGAGCCCACACTTAAATTAAGTTTAAATTGTTTAAACACTCCCTTCTCTTTAATTTTTCATTTTACTGTTCATAAGCTTCAATCTGTGTTAATGTATTTCAGATACTTACTGCTTTGAACTTTTATGCCCGAGGAAGTTACCAGGGGTCAGTGGGACAAAATATGGATGGGCCCATGGCACAACAGACAGTGTCCCGTTGTTTACAAGAGGTAACAACTGCACTTAATGCACCCCACATACCAAGGAAGCACATAAGATTCCCACAAAATAAGTTACTTACCTTTCTATCTAGTATTGACCGTTAAACTTATTAACATGTGAAATACCTAGTAATTAAAATATTATTCTGTTATTTTAAATGAACAATTTACATAAAAAGTGTGCCAAGACTAGGCAAATAAGTCATGCAAAAACAAATATAATTTTATTGCACAATTTACTATTGTATAATAATATTGTATCCTTATTGTAGATTTTATGATAAATATGGGCTACCCGCTGTGGTGGGGTGCATCGATTGTTCACATGTAGTCATAGTGAGGCTTTCCGAGCACGAGGAACAATATTTTAATCGAAAACATTTTCATTCGATTAATACTCAAGTTGTAAGTTTATGAACAATATTTTAATGTTTTTATTATGACATACACTATTTTATTACTTACATTTTATCCTATGTTACATTGATGGAAATTCTTTTTCAGATATGTGACAGTGATTTATTAATTACAAATGTTGATGCTTCATATGGTGGAGCAACTCACGACACTTTGGAGGGAATGTGAGATAAGAAACCACTTGGAGGGTCTCCAGGATGAAACAGTTTATCTATTAGGGATGTCTTGATTTATAGTTTTGATATTCATTATGTATAAGTAATGTCATGATGCAATTTACACTAATATTATATTTTTAAATTTTTAGGTGATTCTGGTTATACTCTAAGGGAGCATATGATGACACCTGTAGATAATGCTGTTGAGAACTCTCCAGAGGGAAGGTACAATTACCTCCAAAAACGTGCATGCTGCACCATAGAACGCACATTTGGTGTATTGAAGGGTCGATGGAGATGTCTTTTGGCAGCTAGGGAACTCCATTACTGCCCAGAAACAGCAGGTAAAATTATATTAGCCTGCTGTGTTTTACACAACATGTGTATAAGGGCTGGTATTGAAGGTCCCGAGTTGACTGAAGAGGAACACCAATCGGAGAGTACCAGGCAGGTTCCCTTTGAAACAGCCGCATCTTCTACTCAAGCTCTACAGGCAGGTCGAAGGGCAAGGAACCGGTAAGATAAACTCAAACCAAACAATTGTGCAAGTAGATTAAAATAAACTCAATTACAAACTTTTTTTTGTTTTAGGAGATAATCATCATCATCATCATATCAGCCACATTTAAGCCGTTTATTTGTGATTAAGTAACAATCAAAATCCATACCTTCTCATTTATAATATTATAGGATTAGGAATTAATATTACTGAAATGTATGGCACTCAATTCTTACCAAAAACATACACTTCTTCTTATCTTGTTATAATTGTAAGCAATGCGTTTTTCTTAATGTTAACTTTTATGTCTAATGAATTTAGTTAATATTGCATATTGTACAACATTATCTATTTAGGTATGAATTTTCGAGTAGGTACCTAGTAGACAGTGATTTCTCAACTAGTTGAAAGTTATTTGCTCTTACCTATCCGATGTGTAGATAATTAATTTCAATACCTACCCATTGTATGTAAACTTTTGTTAATTTTTGTGATGGAAAATTACATTACTTAAAGGTCATTTTACAAATTTGATGACTCTGTATGAAATATACAAGGAGAAAAAATCAGCCCTTAACGAGTTTCTTGCCGGTTCTTCTCGTTACAAGGTCTCCCGCTTAGGGTTTGAGAACCGATGGCGTAGCTTCTTTGACATTCAGAAGTGCTTGTAACAGCCTAGATTAAAATATTTTTAGGCATAAAACTAGTTCTGTTTTATTTTTTTCACCTACTTATCGTTATCCTACCTACCTAGATGTTCATAAAATGGCAACAAATATTTACTTAATCCTTACCTATGACATTGCAGATATTTTGTCACATACAGAGAAAATAATAACTTCTATGATTTTAAATACTTAACAGTATCTTTATATTATATCGAATTATGGCCATGATAATCAACTATCAGTAATAATAAAGTTCTTATTTTAGCTTTCTTAATCTGAAAGAACAAATAGTCTCAAAAATAGTAAAAAGAAATAATAGTATTCTAAAATAAATTTATTTAAAACCTAACGCCTATTTTGCCTTAAAAACTCTAAATAATCTCGCCCTATGTCACGCAACTCTTCCAAGGCAGCCCTGATGACTGCGAGCTCGGTGTTCCTCACTGTCTCTCTCTCTGCACGTCCATCTTCATCATCATCATCATCACAGCCCTTCACAAGTCCACTGCTGAACATAGGCCTCCCCCCCAAGTAATGCCACAAAGCACGGTCCTGAGCCACCTGCATCCATCGACTTCCTGCATATCTTACCAGGTCGTCACTCCATCTAGTGGGGGGTCGCCCTACACTACGCCTACCGGTACGAGGCTGCCACTCGAGAACCTTTCTTCCCCATCGGTTATCGGTTCTTCGAGCTATATGGCCGGCCCATTGCCACTTCAGTTTACTAATCCGTTGGGCTATGTCGGTCACTCTGGTTTTACTGCGGATATCCTCATTTCTGAGTCTATCACGTAGAGAAACTCCGAGCATAGCCCTCTCCATAGCTCGCTGAGCGACCTTGAGCGTCCTCATACGGCCAGCAGTGAAGGACCACGTCTCTGATCCGTAAGTCATCACTGGCAACACGCACTAGTTGTACACTTTAGTTTTCAGAGATTGAGGTATACCTGACGAGAAGATGTGTCGTAATTTCCCGAACGCTGCCCAGCCGAGTTGAATCCGTCGATTGACCTCTCGGTCGAAGTTGGACTTACCTAGTCGGACTATTTGTCCCAGGTAAACGTACTCGTCAACAACTTCGAGCATAGTGCTCCCAACAACTACCGGCATAGGTGTGACATGGACATTAAACATGATCTTTGTTTTGTCCATGTTCATCTTAAGACCTATCCGTTGGGAGGCACTATTGAGGTCATTGAGTATAGTGCTTAAGTCCTCCAGCGATTCTGCCATAAGGACTATATATAGATAAGATAGTCAACTAGGCACCGCTGAAGAGACTGTAGCACCGCCCAAATTTCGACGGAATCAAAGGCTTTCTCATAGTCCACATACGCCAGGCAAAGTGGCAGATTGTACTCTTCGGACTTCTGTATAATTTGCCGAAGGGTATGTATGTGGTCTATGGTACTGAAGCCTTTTCGGAAACCGGCTTGTTCGGGAGGCTGGAAGTCGTCGAGTCTGCGTGCGAGACGATTAGTAATGACTCTCGAAAACAGCACGTAGACGCGGCTCAGAAGGGAAATCGGTCTGTAGTTCTTCAAGAGAGCGTTGTCGCCTTTCTTAAAGAACAAGACCACCGCGCTTCTGCTCCACGCCTCTGGAGTAGTGCCACCATGGAGGACGGAACTGAAGAGCTTCTGAAGGACTTCAAGTACCGGTGTTCCACCCGCTTTCAGAAGCTCCGCTGTAATTCCATCTTCGCCCGGGGTCTTGCCGTTTTTAAGGTGGTGGAGAGCGATTCTCATCTCGCTCAGACTGACGTCCTGATGCTCGAAGTTGTTGACGAGTACGTTTACCTGGGACAAATAGGCCGACTAGGTAAGTCCAACTTCGACCGAGAGGTCAATCGACGGATTCAACTCGGCTGGGCAGCGTTCGGGAAATTAAGACACATCTTCTCGACAGGTATACCTCAATCTCTGAAAACTAAAGTGTATAACCAGTGCGTGTTGCCAGTGATGACTTACGGATCTGAGACGTGGTCCTTCATCTTTGGCCGTATGAGGACCCTCAAGGTCGCTCAGCGAGCTATGGAGAGGGCTATGCTCGGAGTTTCACTGCGTGATAGACTCAGAAATGAGGATATCCGCAGTAAAACTGGAGTGACCGATATAGCCCAACGGATTAGTAAGCTGAAGTGGCAATGGGCCGGCCATATAGCTCGAAGAACCGATAACCGATGGGGAAGAAAGGTTCTCGAGTGGCAGCCTCGTACCGGTAGGCGTAGTGTAGGCGACCCCCCACTAGATGGAGTGACGACCTGGTAAGACATGCAGGAAGTCGATGGATGCAGGTGGCTCAGGACCGTGCTTTTGTGGCATTACTTGGGGGAGGCCTATGTTCAGCAGTGGACTTGTGAAGGGCTGTAATGATGATGATGATGACTCATATAGTGAAGAATCTTTTTCATAGGCAGCAGGATTTAGAAGTATTTTATTACGCGGATGTCGTTAAAGGCGAATATGGGAAGTCCAACCATCAATTACAGCCTTTAAAAGCCCACAGCTGAACATAGGCTTCCCCCATAGATGGCATTATAGGATTGACTTTTATATAGTTGCCACGCCTGGCAGGCGATTTGGCAGCCGCAGTATTTTTCTTAACTTTGAGTTGTTATCATGAAGATGCTGTTGCCCATATACCTTTTCAGTTTTTCTGTGTTGTCTTTTACGACACCGAGAGGGCTATATGGGGAAGTGGATAATCTTACACTACCACTACAATAGACTTAAATGATTTCCAATTAATCGCGTTATAAACGTTATTATCTTGATTTTTTTTTTGATTCGAAATGCTCAGAACAGCGAAACAGCGTCGATGGATATTTGGTACTGTTCGTTCTTGTTACAAATAATTTTTATATTTTTAACTAAAACAGTTAAATCGGACAGCTTGTTAAGAATTTATTGATGAACATCTTCATCATCATTACCACCAACATACTGGGCAAAGACCTCGCTCAAGTTGATTTATAAAAAATATTTCGAATTAAAAACCACCTCATTTATTGAAGTTAGTTAAAAAGTCATGCATAATAATATCCTATTAGACTACTGTAAACCAATCCTAGCTCCAGCATTTTTGGTTTAGTTCCAGTTGCAAGCGGCAATATTAATAGTGATTATAGCATTGCTAGCATTTTTTATAAATATTAAGAATACCCGCAAAGGAAAGGTATACACAAAGGAAAAAATGTAAATGATGGAGGAAATATATATTGCACGCGCGCTCGAACCTACAGCTATCTTATATGAGTGTCTTGCCAGGTATTAGAAGTGTCGAAACTGTCTGGCTACTGGAAGCATCTTCCAATGGTCTAATTTTCTAATAATCTTCTTATTTCACCCTTCTGCTCCTCCTTATCTTAAGGAGAAGTATAGTTTCGTTGGGCTTCCAGGGGAACCTTTACGCTCTTCAAGAAAACTCATTTTAAGGGTACCAACTCACACTACATCTTTCTTTAATAAATCTTTTACTGTACCGTCTATTAAGCTCTGGAATTCCCTACCTTTGTATGTACGCGAAGCTCAGACTATTGTAGTCTTTAAGTGACTTCTTAAAGAGCATTACTTGTCTCAATCGTTTGAAAATCATTAGGATAAATTATGTGATTATGTAGTTTTGTATTTATTTGTTTATGTTATTGTTAGTGGTATATATTTGAGGATATATGTATGTATGTGGATGTGTACATATGTATGTGTGTATATATATGTATATGTGTATATGTATGTATGTATGTATATGTATGGATATGTATATATGTGTGTGTGTTTATGTATATACGTATGTATATGTGTATCATATTTTTAATGTATTAGTTATTTATATGTTATTTTATTGCATGTATTGATATTATATTAGGTATATTTATATTGCACCACCTACCTAGTATTCACTGTTTTATTCCTTTACACCTTTGGTTGCCTGGAAGAGATCGCTATGTAGCGTTAAGGCCGCCAAATTGTACATGTAATCTGCTCTCTGTTATGTTCTTTGTAAATTTGTTTGTGGTGTACAATAAAGTATATTCATATCATATCATATCATAATAGTTATCTAAGTAACATATATAAAATTCTAGTTTTATACTTTAACGTAAGTAGAGTTACGATTTATTTAAGTTTAGGGTTGTTTGGCAAGGCTTGCCACAATATTGTCTGGCAAAGGATGACGTGGTTTCTAATATTATTCCGAATAAAGTATGAGAAAATTCAACTTTATGCATTGACAAATTTAAGTGGCTATTTTATAAATGTTTGCTGCCTGATACTAGCCAAAGCCAATTAATTTCATAGTAGCCCAAACTTCCTACGCTCGGATCCGTATGGGGGGATCGCCAGTTCTTAATAAAAAGGGACGTAAGCACTGCGATTTATAAGTAATGCTCAGGCTGTTATATTTTAATTTCCTTGATGATTTTAT